GGAGGGAAGGAGGGAAGGAGGGAAGGAGGGAAGGAGGGAAGGAGGGAAGGAGGGAGGGAGGGAGGGAGAAATAGGGACTCAAAGTTATACTGGAAGCCAACAACTTCAAAGCACCTAAAGAATCAAAAGTAATTCAACTTATAACAATTCTGCAGTAGACAAATACACAAGGAAAATTGCACAGAGATGTTCAAAAAGATGTAAATAAGGAAGAGCTATTGCAGTTGCTAATCGGGAGACCACGGGTGTGCCCTTGAAGAGAGCCCTTTCCGTGTAGCATCTACCAACTGACCAGGAGCAAATATTTGCACAGTTGATAAGTAAACTGATATTAAAACATTGTCAGATTTCCACAACTATGGCTAATTATGATTGGCAACATCAAAAAGCGGGGGGTGGGGGGGACATAGCTGGCTGATTAAGGTAACATAAAACTTTAAAAAAATTCATAACCCCCCTGTTACCAGTGGTGGGAGTGAAAACCACCAGGACCCTTCTGAAGGGCTGTGTTAATAACAGCATGGTTCACAGTACATCCCGTTCTCCTCCCTCAGGGCACACTGTAGGGTTGGAGATTTGTGCCCAGTTTCCTGGGGCAGATTTACTCTCAAGATGATGAAGCTTATGCTCCAACATCCCATCCATCACAACTCCTTTTCCCAGGTGGTGATGGAGTAACAGTGGGCGTTTTGGGGATTCAGCAAACTGGAAGTTTTGGGGGTTTAGGATTTTTAAAAAATTATTATTTATTTTTTGGCTGTGTCGGTTCTTAGTTGCGGCATGCGGGCTCCTTGTTGAGGCAGGCAGGATCTTTCACTGCGGCACACGGGCTTCTCTCCAGTTGTGGCGTGCAAATTTTCTCTTCTCTAGTCGTGGCACACAGGCTCCAGGGCGTGTGGGCTCTGTAGTTGCAGCGCACAGGTTCCACAGTGCATGGCCTCTGTATTTGCAGAACGCGGGCTCTAGTTGAGGCACCAGAGCTCAGTAGTTGCAGCACGCGGGTTTAGTTGCCCCGAGACATGTGCTGTCTGAGTCCCTGACCAGGGATCAAACCCACGTCCCCTGCACTGTAAGGCAGATTCTTTACCACTGGACCACCAGGAAAGTACCGGCTAACTGGAAGCTGAGTAAGAGAGACGGTGAGTTTGGGTTTGGTGGTCACTTTCATGTACGGCTATTGTTAGCCTTCCCTCTGATCTGAC